GGCAGCATCAATGGGCTCAAGCATGGCAACAATTGTGAGGTTGGTCCAGGATCTGGCAGTGTTTCGTTCTGTTGTGTAAAGGGTCGCCATGAGTTGGTACTGACTCGATGGCACCTAACAACAAATCCTCTGTTGTTAAGTACTGCTGAGTCGGCTCCGACTCATAGTGATCCTGTCCATTTTCCGAGGAGCCACTGGTGGATTTGAACCACGGACCTTGTGGTTCAATACATTCTCCTGCAGCGCCACACCAGGACTCCGTTGAATCCTTTAAACAACCTTCTATCATAGTTTATATGGTAGATACTGATATTGTCCCTAATCTACATGACTAATCTTAAGTCATTTAGATGTTATAGTTGAATATAGAAAAGGATGATTGGTGACCGAAAAGTGAAGTCTATGATTTTATTTCTACCCCAAAAATGATTATCCCAATGGACATGGTCTACTCCTGTAATCCAGGGAAAGGGGAGTTAAATGGAATGAAAACTTTTACCCCTTTTCCACAATAACCACCACACTGTCAAGTTCTCAACATGACTCCCCAGGCCCAGTATACATATACACCAATGAAGATTTAGGACTCCAGGGATGGAAATAGAACTAGTTTCTCCTCTTCATATATTCAAAGCTCTTAGATGATTTGCTGTTTCACCACAAAGAATTGGCAACCAGCTATTTCCTTTGCATACAAGAAAGAGAATTTCAGAGGTTTCACTATAACCCTCAATTGCAGTGGAGGACTTTGGGTACATTCTGAAATTCATTTTCATAGGATTCATTATAAACTTCAACTGAAGGACTTTGGGCATCTTCTGAAGTTAATTTTTGTGGAACTCATCCTATATGTTAGCCTGTTAAAACTCCTCCTCCATTTCCCTCCAGGTCAGAGGTAACTTTCCTCTGACAGTATGACCATGGGGTTACTAGAAATGCACATGTTGAACTAGAAGATGTGTGTTTAAGAATAAACTGACATTTAGCAAAGTAAGGCAGCTCAAAACCAAAAGGAAAAATAACTCCCAAATTTTGACCCTTGACTAACATTCAAATAGACCCCCGACCTTTATCCCACAGATCTCCTGTGCTTTTGAGTAACACAGGAGCCATATGATCTGAATTATAAACAGTAATGTAAGTCTTCTCTTGAGAGCACATGTCCTGTGTCTGGAAGCCCCAGGTAATAGCTGCCATACAGGAATACAGGTCGCATATTGTCCAAGTTCACAATTTTCCAAGAAAAGATAAAAATGAAGATTTTTATGCAAAATCTGGTAGTTAAAAAATGTTGCCTCAAAACATTTTCTAACAGCACAGGAAAAACAAAGCACATCTATAGATAACTCATCTGTAATCTCTGGGCCTAAATACCCAACTATTCTTCAACCTTAAAGCTAAATGGGGTCCAAGGAGCTGAAAAGGAAAAGTTCCAAATATACATCAGAGTTGACAACATTTCTCCCATATTTGTCATCTAAAAACTGTAGTCCATCTAAACGGCTCCTATGCTTAAGTGGCTTTCATATAAATTTAAAATAACATATGCAAATGCTGACCAATAATATTCAAATAGTATCCAGATACTGGCTCTGAAAGGTGAGTTGTCAGATACATTTCATTCTTAGCTTATCTGAGATTGTCTTATCTGACCATGATTTCCAGCTACAATAGTCTGTTGTTGGCTGACTCATTTGGCCACCAAACCACTGCCCTAGGGTATGTTGTTTTGCTCCATCCCACTTCCCAAGAGCAATCACAAACCTCAGCAACTAGGCACAAGTTTGCATACATACACATTAATCCCTCTATAATTAAAAATACCAGATAGTAGTTTGCTGATCAATAAACAAATTATTTATTCAGCACCTTTGTGCCAAGCACTGTGCTAGGCACTGTGGTGGATACAAAAATTTAAGACATGGTCCCTGCCCTTAAGGAGCTTACAATCTCATGAGGGAGACAAGACTAATATACATGTACCAGCTAGGAACAGTACAAGACAACATGTAATTTGGTGTAAAAGTACGTCCATAGACTTGAAGCTTTATAGGGATTTAAAGAGACAATGAAATGGGTCTTAAGAGTCAAGAGTTCTTGAGCAGTCAGGAGCAGGGCCAGGCCTTGAAAAACTGAGTGATACAAATTGGGGTGTCTGTTAGGTCTAAGTGGGAATAAGTATTAGAGGAAAACAACTATGCATTTGAAATAAATGCATAAGGAAACTAAGAAATCAACGTGGGTAAATGACTTGATTGGACAAGGCTCAACAGCTTTAACACACTCATGCAAGTAGGTTAGTGGGCATCCTGCAGAACACTGAAAATGGTGGCAGGAGTGTGACTGATAACACAGATGGCTTTCAGCAGTCCAAGCAAATAGAGCCACAACATAAAACACTAGCAGGATAGATGACAATTCTAGGAGACTCCTTAACCAACATGGCAATCGCGTCACTAGTTCCTAATATTCAGAAGTCTCTACAGAGGGCTGCATAGATGTCCACAGAATAAAGGTCTCATTATTGAGATCCAGGATTTGTGGATGTTCTCTGCTCAGAGATGACACAAGAGGTATGAAAAATATTAGGACATTTAAGAGTAACAGAAACAGAACAAGTGGAAAAGAGAAAGAAGCCAATAGAAATTCATAGTGAAAAAAAAACACCAAAAAATATATAAAATGTACCTCCTAGGGAGATGCAGTTTGTACGTCCATTTTAAAATTTTTAAATGAACATATACTATATCTCTGTAACAAAAATGAAAACAAAAAGTATACCTTAGTTAGGTGTGCTTTTCAATATTACTGGAAGAGTCCAACAAGCCCTCAAATTATATGTATGTCAGGTCACAAAGCAAAATTCCATGTTATCAAATCTCTTTCAGTTCACTTGCATTACACAAAAAGGTAGTGTATTTTGGAAAGATCAAGACTGAGAGGTAAGTTGGGGAAGAAGTAAGGATATTTCCTAGGTCCAGGAATAAGCACAGGTGTCCCGTTAAGTAACCCAGGGCTAGGGATGGTGGTAGTAGGATTGGCTAGACTGTAAGAGAGCAGTGACTGAACGTCCCACAGCCCAGGGTACACTGTAGTAACACAGCATGACCTGTGGCCACAGCGGATTTTCATCCTATCAAATCAATCCAAATCACATAACTGCTTCTGGGTATACATTAAAAATTTGTTTCCTGTATTATCCAGTCATTAATGTGTAGATATTCCTTAACTAAATGAACAGTCAGTGAATAAGAATTTAGGATTAAATTTCTTTGCAAAAAAAATATCCAGTGAATTGGATAACCCAAAATTAACTCAGGGAATACAACTAAAGAAACCTATTTCTAGTGCTAAAACAATAATTATATATTAAAAAAAAAAAATCTAAGTCACTGATAAAGTTTTCTTAAACAAAGACATGTCAAAACCTACAAATCCCATAAGGATTATACATCTAAGCTTGGCATTTCAACTGTTAGAGACTTTTGAACCATTCAGGAGAACAATATTCCTGTTAAGCCAAGTTGTATACAATTACAACAATCATATTCAGTTATGTGCTAGCAACATTTAAAATACTTTAATTCATTACTTATGCAGTTTCCATTAAAGACAGTAAAATAGTTTTCACTTCAAAATCATTCTGAGAATTCCCAGTGAGGACATTTATGATGTGCAATTCTCATGTTCATCTTTCTGAGCAAAATCTCACTATGGAAAACTACAACACATACTCAAGCTGGAAATACTACGGAGTCAAGTTTGGGGAATTGATCCTGGATCCACATGATGTTTATGAAAAACGATTTGAAATAATCTCTTTTCTGAGGGCATGGATCTTGCTTTTGTGGGTTCTCATGGATAGAATGAAGTCCATCCTGCCGAGACCAAGGTAAGAGTCCATATTTGGGACCAGTATTTATTAAACTACAGGAATTAACCACATACTTTTGTGGATCTTGTTTAACGTCTACCTGATTGAGAAGATAAAGTAGGTTCTTAGCTCTGAAAAGCTTCTCAGTCTAACCCGAAGCAAATGATTGTTAACCAGCCAAAGACCCAGCCTAACTGGCACCTGTTCATCTGGCTCCAAAGCCAACATTTAACTGGTTTTCCAAGTTGGATGCACTTTCTGTAGCTTCCAAACTGCAGTATTTCCCTAGATACCACTTAATAAAGAAATATAAGTAGAATCATTAAGGCTCCACACAAGCTTTTTGCCTATAGCTGAATACCTGCTGTTAGAACTGTACTCCACCCCCTTCACACACTGACATATTAAAGTTTCGTAAAACCCAGATGAGAACAAATTATCTGGACAACAAAAATAAATCATCTTCCTATTGAAGCTAGCATTCTAAGTTAATAAGATGTGTATTCAACCACAGTAATAACAGTCCCGGTTTGTGAACAGGAAGCAAGCCACGGATTTCCAATCTTCTGTAAAATGAAATCCAGTTGAAAGCTACGAAGAAACAGGAAGAGCAGGCATTCTCAGCTGCTCTGAACTCAGAACCCAGGAAGGAGAGCTAGCACACATTGTCATAATTTAAAGGATCACACACAAAAGCTTTAGTACAGTGAGAGAGAGATGGAATTGAGTTTTATTTTGTCCTCTCTGAAACTTCCATTTACACCATGGCCTCGTCTATCAAAGAGGAATAAAATGCTCTGCCTTTGCCAGAGAACTCAAGTATCCGGGTACTTGATGGTTAGAGGTGGCAGGATATTTGTTTCTCCAGTTTTTGGCTCCGAGAGATTACACTTTCAGTACCAGTGTAGTGAGGAACCACTGGCAAATCGCTGGAAATGTCTTCTGGATTAATCAGTGTACCATTTCATAAAGTGCTTCTGGAATTAAAATCTGTAAAGCTGTCAAAAGTGTCCACACTTTTGCAACACAAAGGGTAAAAGAATCCCAATGGGTATGTCACTCGAGTCTTTCCCAGCTGGGTCTCATTGGCACGGCTGCTTTAACCTCCAAGACGCTGGCCCTCACCCCAGGCGAAGCCTCCTGGCCGGTCTTCAGGTAGTGGATTGTAATTTGGATCTTCATCTGGTGTATCAAAAATAGCTTTCCTAAAAGATGGACGACAGACATGGTTTAGTTGCAGTAATCTTGGGGTCCTAAATTCTGCAAGGCTCAGTCCGATCACACAGGGTTTCCACCAACAGACAAAAATTACATCCACCTGTCAACTCACAGGTTTTAAAGGAATACATAACTACTTCACATGTGGAACAACTTTTACCGCTTTTACTACTTTTTAGCACAAAAGCAACATATATGCATTGTAGACAAGATAGGACATGCACATAAAGCGAAATATCCTAACTCCCCAGAGACACTGGTGAGGCTTTCATTATTCTTCCAGAACTTTTCTACATATAATTTTACAAGTTAGATCAAACTACTTGTTTGGGCACCCAATTTTCATATATATCATGAATATCTTAGCATAACCAATAACTTTTTAAATTAAAAAAATGAAAAGGACATACTAGAGTATAAAAAGTGGTGGTGGTGGTGGCTATGTGCCGTGGAGTCAGTTCCGACTCATAATGACCCTGTAGAGGGTGGGTTTCCAAGGCTGTATATCTTCACAGGAGCAGAAAGCCTCATTTTTCTTCAGCGGAATAGCTTGTACTTTCAAACTGCTGACCTTAAGGTTCACAGCCCAATTTGTAACCACGACGCTACCAGAGCTCCCTAGCCATTACATTTGTTGTTGTTAAGTACTGTCAAGTCGATGCCGACCCATAGCAACCCCCTATAGGGTTTCGGAGGAGCAGCTAATGAGCTTGAACCACCGACCTTGCAGTTCAAATGGCTTTGCAATCTGGTGCATTAACCCACAGTGCCATACCAGGACATTAGGGGTGATTAATTAACGGTTTGGCCAAATATTACAAGCTAATTTTAAGCTGATAAATTTTGGTGGAAAAAAGGGTTCCCCAGCCCTGCTGCAGTGCAAGTTGTTAGGTGCTGTCAAGTTGGTTCCAGCTAATAGCAACCCTGTGTAAGGTTTCTAAAGAGTGGCTGGTGAGCTTCAACTAGTGACCTTGTACTCTAGTGCTCAGCCTACAGTCCTGTCCAGTCTGACTAAGATGTGGGGAAATGGATACTCATATATTTGTGAAGGAGAGGTAAGAAACAAAATAAAACAATTCTCCTTGAAATTCATCCTTTGTAAATAAGCACAGCGGTGTACAGAGTTGGCTACTAGGACGTTTACCACTAATTATAGGAGCGGGTTCAAAAAGTTGGTAGAAAAATGGAATTCAATGATAATGGAAATTTCCCATGAACTCTTTGAAGCCCCCTCAATAGATGAAAAGCAAAAACTAATGGCAATGCCCATCAATAGGGGATTAATAAAATTATATTATATCTATACCATGGAAGTGAGCATAGGAATTTATTGACGGAAAAAATGAGTATAATATATGAAGTTAAAAAGGTTATGTAAATAAAAATTACATAGACAGTAAAGGACTGAAGTATACATATCAAAACCTTAACAGGAGTACCAACTCAACCAGCCCACTGCCACAGAGTTGATCCTAACACAGGTCAGAGTAGAACTGCTCCATAGGGTTAACAGCACTGTAACTGTTCACAGAAGCAGACTAGCTCATCTTTCTCCTGTAGAGCAGCTGGTGGGCTCAAACCACTAACCTCTCAGCAGCAGAAAGCTTAGCCCACAAATGAAATTGTGGGTGATTTTATTTTTGTCTTTTTTGCTTAACTGTTCCGTGACCTTTTATAATTAAAAGCTCACTTCAATTCATCAAACGAACCCTTTTTAATGCATCATTTCCCAAAGGAAACAAAAATCTGGAGTTGAAAGTGGTCTTAGAAATCAAATCTGTACCTCAGGAAAACGCATGCAGTAAAGGAGACGAGACTTACTTAAAATCCCCTGACTACAGCGATTTCCACTCACTTCACTATGTATCTCTACCACCTGCTCCGAAGGCCAGACATTCTACCATCAGAAATGCTCCTCTCATTACAATTTTGCCACCTCATCTCTCTAAACTTGGTCAGCAGCTCTCCTGAAAACACCCAAGTTCCTCTTTGGGACAGGAGATTTTAGTGGTCATTCAGTTCAATAACTACCAAGTGTCATGGGTTGAATTAGGTCCCCTTCAAAATATGTGTCAGCTTAGCTGGGCCACAATTTGCAGTGGTTTGGCAGTTATATAATGATATAATGTGCCAGGTATGTGATGATCCCCCATGATGTGAATGATAAACTACTTCGAGGGTTAAGGGCAGAAGGCAACACCCTTAATCCCACCACAGCTCTGACCAAATGTCAGGGGAATTCCCTAGGTGTGGCCGCAACACTGTTGTTTGTTGTTAAGTGCGACTGAACCACTGACTTTGAGTCCAGTGCATTAACTGGCAGGAGAAAGAAGAGGAGCTGGGAATACAAGTGTCCTTTGGACTCGAGGTCTCTGCACTGTAATAAAGCTCTTAGATTCCGGGGAAGGTTGATGCCAAGACACATGAGTTCTCCAAGAAATGCTGCCAAAGGAGATAAGGAAGGGTCCTTCCCCAGAGCCAACAGTAAAAAAAACTTCTCCTAGAACCAGCACTCTGAATTTTGTCTAGCCTCCTAAACAGTTTGAGAATAAATTTGTTAAAAGCAGCCACTTGTGGTATTTCTGTCACAGCAGCACTGGATAGCGAAGACACCAGTTACGTCCATGTAATCTGGAGCCTGATACTCTGGCTCCTGCTAGACAAGCCATGCACTGTCGGCTCCTACCCAGGCCAGGGCTCCTCAGCTGCAGTCCACTGCTCAATCAGAAAACATTTACTGACTTCTGGGTGCCAGAATTTAATGGGAGCCCCAAGAAAATATACACTGTGGATACTGTCCTGGTTTGTCTGCAAGGCACATGTAATCTAGTATAAATACTCACAAAACAGATGGCGTTTTTAGAATTCTTATTCCACCAGGCTGATTGGGAAATACATCTTCCAAGAAAAAATATATGTGTCCAACTGCAATACCTAGAGTCAACACGCAATAAAGGATGAGAGAAGATTAGTATTGGCAGTACAAGTGGACCTACCAACATAAAGTTGCTTATATTTACAACACAGTAAAGACTAAAACTAGCTCTGGTAGCGTAGTGGTTATGAATCGGGCTGCTAACCCTGAGGGCAGCAGTTCAAAACTACCAGCTGCTCCACAGGAGAAAGAGGACACTTTCTGCTCCCGTAAAGATTTATAGCCTCGGAAACCCTGTGCAGGTTCGCTATGGGTCGAAACCGACTTGATGGCACTTAACAACAACAACAAAAGACTAAAGAACTAAGATTGTCTTTTAAGAAGCTCTGGTAGCAATGTGGTTACGAATTGGGCTGCTAATCTCATGGTTAGCACTTCAAAATTACCAGTGGTTCCATGGGAGAAAGATGAGGCTTTCTGCTCCTGGAAAGATTTACAGCCTTGGAAACCCTATACAGGGTTACTACGAGTCAGAACCGACTGCACAGCGAATAACCACCACCACCAATATTGTAGCAAATAACTATCAAATTATCCTACCATAGTTATACATGCAAGTCAAACAGAATAAACATGAAAAACAGTGGCAAAATAGGTGCACAAGTAAAAAAAGAGAAAAAATGGTGATAAGACTCTTACCCAGGAGGTCCACAATGATTGAGTTCCCCAATAACAAGGAAAAGCCCATGAGTACCCAGGGCAGAAAGGGGGCTTGGAAGTTGAGAAGGCCGAAGAAGTTCATGCGGACATATGGGTTCCTTCGGCTCCACACGTAGACAAGCATTATTGTAAAGGCCTGACCCAGGAAAACTAAGCTCACAAACAAACCAAAAAGCTAGCAGGTGAGATTAAGGAAAATAGCAACAGAAAAGGTTTAGATAGGGACACTAGAAAAAGAACTAGGGATTTCGTTCTAGTAAGTTTGAACTGGAATAGTCAAAAAGCAGTTACTGCTTTAGAATCAAAGGAATGGATATAATAATTATCCAGAGCAATTAAGCAAAAACCTGCTTAGCCAAATCATCGGGATTGTAGCTACCTCAAATGAACACTCTGTTTTGACTATGCAGTCCAGCCCTCTTTGGGCAATGTGTTAATTCGTTGGTTGATAATTACATTAAAGCTTGCTCACTAGTAGCACTCCAACAAAGGTGTATAAAACCAGCTAGAGCAAAACCATATGTTCAGATAGAACTACGCCCACACCTGTCACAAAAATCTGTTTTTTAAACAATGTATGAGTTTTTTTGATGGCGACCAAACATTTTACCAACTTTGTTTACAAAGGTAGTACAGCCATCAACAATGCCAGTAACTAAGATGCTTAAGAGTAACCCACCTGAATTAAAAGGTTCCTATGTGGCACTGTAGGATAAGCACTGGACTGCTACCTGCCAGGTCGGTGGCTCCTCGGAAACCTTACACAGGGGTTGCTATGAGTCAGACTCAACTCAATGGCTCTTAACAACAACATGACTTGCTCACAGTACAAAAGCGTCCTGCTCAACCTCTAGGCTCAGAAAAAGTTGTCACATAAAGATTGCTGCAAAATCAAGTTTACCCTGAAGCTAGAGTTTGGAAATCTGTTTTTATCTGAGTTTGTTCAGAGAATCTAATGAGCTATGGGAGACAGATGAAAACCTTTAGGAAGAGTGAGGGTGTGTTCTTTAACATTTTCCTGCATTTATTCTATTTGTTGAAGGATACGGTCATTAAGAATCCACCAAAAAGGAACATAAATACGAAGTCTGCTGTCCGACCTCGGAAAGAGCCTTCTTCTAGCATTCGACAGTAACGGTATCTTCGGTTCCAAGTTAAGAAAATATACACCATAGCATTATGAAGCAAGTAAAACTTAAAATGTGTCACTTTCAGTACACTTGGACCCAAGCCTACACTTCTGTAAGAATAGTTGAGTGGTAGTACTGTATTTCTTTCCCAGTCATTTTAGACAATGTCTAGAGCTGTACAATATTTTCTAAAATCTGTCTGGGGTTGAGGAATTAATTCACATACACCCTAAACATGCTGCCAGTCTACCTATTTACTTTTCAACTTGTATCCTCTTTCCCATGCTCAACTCAACCACACCCTAATCTCCACCATCCTTGCTTTTTTCATATTCTAATTTTGAAGACATCCCCATCAAGAAGCCTGTATGATAAACTACTTCATCCATGGTAGTTAGGGTAAGCATTTGTACACCTCACTCAGTATAGATGGATTATGCTTTAAACTAAACAAAACAAAAATGATTATTAGAAACATACCAGAAAGATCTACCTTAGCGAGAGGAGACATGGGACTTCATGCCAGGACAACAATCCCTTTACCCCTGCAGGGCTATCCACCAAAGATGAGTTACGTTAGCAATCCCAGCTAGCTGAATCCAGCCGCAGAGGCGAAGGACGAGTGTCCTGCTAAGGTGTCCCAATTTTTATTTGAACAAAGCATAGCTCTTCTTCCCTTTCAGCAAATCCAAATATGGTTAGCTCAGCAGACAATATGGTAGTGTCTTTTCAGCCAATAAAACCAACAACCGACATGCAAAGGAGACCCAAGTTCCCCATCCCTCATAAATCCTTTCCCGAGCCCCGGCCAAGTCTCTGCTAATTGAACTAATGCTGTATTTGGGTTGTGTTTTATCACTTTGTACCTGTTGTTGTTGTTGTCAGGTGCCATCGAGTCGGAACCGACTCATAGCGACCCCATGCACAGCAGAACGAAACAATGTCCGATCCTGGGCCAACCTCAC